TAGCTGCAAAAAGCTAACCCATAATACGCCTTTACCTTTGCCGGCTCTTCCCACAGAGATATTGTATGTAGGTTCTCCTCCTTGGCTCTTTGTCCTGATGTCCATTGTCCAGTCGCCCTCATCCTGGAGGCTGTCTCTGAGGACTGAACACTTCTTTGAGCCCAGAGTGAGACCGCTGGTGTAAAAGGTCTCCCTGTCCTTACCGATAAGGACGTCTATTTCCTGAGACTGAGGAGAGAGAGAGGGGCAAACAAAAAAAGAGACACACAAAGCAACAGGATTGAGGCGATATTAGTCACATGCCCAAGAAGTAGATGTGGTTCCAGTGACATGGCAAGCATAATCCCATTTCAAATAACACAGTATTATTAGTTAGATCAACTTTAATGCATGACTTCTATGCACACATGAATTCCGCACAATAATAATTGAGGGCTATTTTAAAAGAATTGCACATGTCTTGACTTTTGGGGATTCATTTCCATCCTTGTAAACACTGTTTTATAATTCTTTTGTGAGAATTGGGTGATTTTTTTGCAAAGACATATTCCAATTCTGTTCTGGGTGTCAGACAAAATGATAGAGGCCTCAATTATCTAATATTTTAGAAAGGCACAGAGAAAAACAAAAGGTATATTATTAATAGTAGCATTCTGGCACCGGTCACGTGTGACAAAACAGCGGCATTAGGAATTACAGACTAGCATCAAGGGAAAGGACCGCGTTGAAACCCATTCTCTGAATCCTAACACGCCCTGTCCCCAAACCAGGCGATAATATGATCGGGATCCTCTGCCTGCAGGGACTAGCGGAAGTAAAGCGGCGTCTATGCACCGGTCTACCGCTCAAGCAATCCCAATGAATGAACTGAAAACGCTCATTCCCTATTAAAAGACGAGCATTTATAATTGCACTCGTTTCTTGCTCGCACTGATAACACTGCGGATTTACCCCAGGCTGAACCAAACACCACACATTAGCTTTTAAAAGCACCCGGAGCCGGTAAAGCAGCAGCTTAAAGTTAGCTAATCAAAGCAAGCGTGCACACAAAAGCATGCACGCTCCCTTCAATCAGACACAGTCTACTCGCTGGTCTTAAATTAGCTAAGTGTTGTTTTACCCGGGTTCCCTCACCCCTTTATTTTGATTATTACAAGACGGCACGCCATAATCATCTATTTGTGTGTGAAAGCCATTATACGAGAAGCCTTCTCTGAACCACATGAGGTCTAATCCCAACGTTTCCTTAGCTAGAAAAAGCCGACACAGGCCACTGGTGAGCTAGCCAGCTAGCCCATAAGCTAGCTCGGCACCGTTAGCTCGTTAGTCGCTCAGATCCTGCGAGGTAACGGTTTCTGCGCTCCTCTGGCTGGTGAACGTCTGCGTGACAGATAACATTACTGCCAAACGAAACCACACTCTCACACCCCCAAACGAGCTCGTTTTGACTTCTTACCGTGATATTGTTGAATGTACCACCGGCATGTGCTGCCCAAACATATTTGGCGTCCATATAACCAACAATGGCGCTATCCTGACAGCTGCCATCGGCCATCAGGTTTTCCACGTAGCTTTGCCAAGACATTTTCAAGAAACTGATGATATAAATATATTTAATTTAAAAAACTACACCTATTTTTTAGTGTTGTCGCCAAATAAGAGGCAAGACAGAATGAAAGAAAGCCCGCAGACTAATTTAGAGTCTCCAATCTAACCCACACTTCGACGTTGAGCAACGCGAAGGCTGGGGCAGCAAAGAAAGCCAGGGCAGTGAGGCAGCGGCTGGGTGTAGTCCGTATCAGATCACTCCGCACAATGAGCTCCCTGGCGCTTTTATGGCAGCAGGCGGCGGAATAAAGAGGGACTTATCAGCTCAGCCAACAGTCAAGTCTGAGGGACTGCCGGGGTGGAGATTTACTGATTCTTCCATTAACTTCAAGTGTTTTCATGTTGTATGGATGACATGACAAAGAGCGTCAGACCAGACACCGTGTGGGCTTTTACCCGCAGTACACAAAAACAACACGCACTGAGATGCACGTGTCTGATGGATTTCGCGATTATTTTCTCACCTAACGATCCTTCATATTATTGCTACTTAAAATCTGCATTCACCGGCCACTTTGTTAGGTACACCTGTTCATCTGCAAGTAATTGCAAGTATCTTATCAGCCAATCACATAGCAGCAACTCAATGCATTGTAAATATGGTCGAGACGACATGCTGAAATTCAAACCGAGCATCAGAATGATGAAGAAAGGTGATTTAAGTGACTTTGAACGTGGCGTGGTTGTTTGTCTCTGTATTTCAGGAAAAAAATATCGGGGTTTGGGTTAGGGTGAAAATGCCTTGTTGATTTCAAAGGTCGGAGGATAATGGCTAGACTGCTTTGAGGTGATAGAAAGGGAATAATAACCCAAAAAGGCCATTCATTATGTTCATTATTCATAATTCATTATATTCTGAACACACAACACTTTGACCTTGAAGCAGATGGGCTACAGCAGCAGCCAAAGGGTGCCACTTCTGTCAGCTAAGAACAGGAAACTGAGGCTCCAGTCAACAAGATACTGGAAAATGTTTCCTGGTGAGTCTCAGTTTCTGCTCCAACATTCTGATGTAGGGTTAAAAAAAACAAAAAACAAGAAAGCATGGCTCCATCCTGCATCATATCAATGGTTCAGACTAGTAGTGGTGGTGTAATGGTGAGGGGGATGTTTTCTAGGCACACTTTAGGTCCCTTAGTACCAACTGTGCATCGTTTAAACACCACAGCCTGCCTGTTGTTGAATGTGTCCATCCTTTTTTGACTACAGTGCATTCATCTTCTGGTTGCTTCCAAGAAAGATCATCTCAAATTGCTTACTTGAACATACTAAGTTCACTGTACTCAAATAATCCCCACATCACCAGATCTTAGTCAAATCAAGCACCTTTGGATGTGCTCATGAACGTGCAGCCAACAAATCTGCAGTAACTGTGTGATGTTGTCATGTCAATATGGGCCAAAATCTCTCAGGAATGTTTTAAACACCCTATTGAATCCAAGGGATGAAGAATTAAGGCAGATCGGAAGGCAAAAAGGAAGTCCAACCTGGTACTAGCAAGTGATGACTACTGAGAGATATAAACCAGTCTCCCCTAAGAAATCTGATTATCTGAGATAAGCAACCCGTATATGTATTATCTGTGTTCTGCTTGGGGTCCTGGAGACAAACTCAGAAGCCCAAGACTGCTTAACATTATCTTATCAGCTTGGAACTTTTCATGACATCATTTTAGATTCTTTTATGTGATTAATATAAAAAATGTGCTCAGACTCTAGCTAACACAAATATATGGAAAATTAGAATTATGTTTGGGAATTACAGTGGAACGCCTTTTGCTCATACTTATATACATTACCACATCTATTTGATCAAATATGCTGTCCCAGTTGGACAAATCATTGCACTCGCATTAAAAAGGTTCAGGATTATGAGATTAGTACTGTTTTTACTTACACTATTTGAAGCATAGCTTTGTTTGTCTCAGACTAAAAAAAGACAATTTCTGCATTTAAAATATGCTTTTTCTTTAAAAACAAAAGTCATCATTCTTGACTACTTAAACATTAGATGATGCTCATACTGCCTTTTTTGCCTTGTCATCCTAACAGCAGCATGAATGTCACATTAACAAGTATTTAACCTTACATCCTTTTCACTGCGTCTAAATGTTTTTAAACAAGATCAACAAAACAAATAAATGTGATTATTCTACAGTCCATTGTAAAAGTGATGACCAGTAGTTCACTATGTCCATTTCAGACACCCCATCCTCCCCCTTCTTATCAAAATCAGGCCCAGATCGTTCCACTTGGTATATAAGTCACTGTGTTGGAGACAGTGCAAGCTAAACCTAATCTTTTCTATTTTGGACCCAGTTAAACAGTTTTAATCACAGACATGTACACTGTTTGAAACTGCAGGGGTTTTTTTTTTATCACACCACTGTTATTATTATAGCGGACCTAAAACAACCATTACTTGATATAAGCTAAATGAAACGGTGAAGGGTTCAAGGTTCACCCAAAATCACCAAAAAAGGAAAGGGAAGGACCTCTTTGAATTCAAAACTCATTCTTGGCCACCGGGGGCAGTGTTCTCTATGATTTGGGAAGCCTCGTGGTCTGTGAGAAAAAACATGTTTCGCTGGTTTCAGAGCACGTCTTTTTCCTTTCGGTGCTTTTGAGAGATATCCTGTAAAGTTCCTGTAAAATTGAAACAGGAAGCATTCTGGTTAATTCTTAATTAGATAGTTTCTATTTTTTTTATTTGCTCATATATGTTACAAGTATGCATATTTTGTCGTATTGCTCCATAACACATTTAAACAGAATACTGGGTGGATTTAGTTTGTTATTGCAGCTGATCATCAAATAAGGCATTTTATACCTCATGCTACCTGATATAATAGCCCAGTAACAGCTAATTAAGGCAAGGTGTAACTAAAAAAAAAAGAAAGAAATAAACTTTACAGTGATAAGAAAAGAGTATTTTGCTCTGAGGGGCAGGCGGTAGCAAACAAGCAAGAGTGTTTGGGAGTGTTTTATCAAGACATCCATCTATTGTGATTTATATAAATCTGACTAATCGCATAATCAGCTAGACTGATAATGAGGAAATTATGAGCTAATTACGTTTCACAGTTTTCCAAAGTCCAAAGTAATCGGTCAAATAGATCCGTTGTCTGAATAGTGACAAATAGAATATAAAAGGTTAAATAGTCATTAGAGTAGCACTACCCCGACAACAATTTCAGGGTAGTGCTACTCTAATGAGTAGTCTAAAAACAAATGTCTAAAACATTTCTTTTTACTCTTTCTGTGCGTGCAGTTGTGAACGTATTTGTTTTTGTTTTTTTCCGAAGGCCCGTGAAGGCATCATTAGGATGGATTCTCAAAAGCCTGGTACGTAAACGTCTTTTGCGCTCACTACCTACCCACGATGCAGCGCGGTCGCACACAACATAGCCATCTTGTCAGGAGTGACTGAGTGAGGGAGGCAACTGTAGACGCTGTTTAGAATATCATTTGGGGGTTTTTTATTAACGCGTCATATTTAAGAGCCCCTTTCTCCCTCAACCGTAGTCAGCGACGGAGTGAGTGTCGACAACGAATGACTTTGAGCTGGTGAAGCGAGAGGCTACGCAGCGCCGCTTTCAGAAGGATGTCTCACATACTTATTCCGACGTAGGGGGAGTGTGCAGCAGCCAGTTGGCTTGAATTGTTAGCTAGCTCAGTGAGTGGAGGGCTACGGGCCCTCCTCAGCTTAAAGTAGCCCCTACAGCTGGGCAGCCCACTCTGCGACAACGGCCGCTCGACAACTGGACAACCGGGACATTAGCGGGCCGAAAGCCGCGGATCGGTCACCGCACGGGCTGTTGGTAATCGTGTCTGAAGCCCTGCTGCTGGACAAGACGACACGAAGTGTGGCATTGCGTTATGAGCTCTTGAAACGCAACAGGAGTCCGAGAGAGGAAGAGGATGGCGCAGATACATCTTGATTACAGTTAGGTAGGCTAAAAAGAAAACTAGCTCCAGGTCTGCTGCTTATTATGCTCTAAGCTTTTAAAAGCTGCAGCCAGCTCGCCCCTTTTTGACTGAGGATAAACATAGCCATACGGGACTTGGATTCAGGCTGTCAATATGTCGAAAATGCCGGCCAAGAAAAAGAGCTGCTTTCAGATCACAAGTGTGACTCAGGCCCAGGTGGCGGCTGTAGGTGCCGCCGACGACACGGAGAGTCTGGACGATCCAGACGAGTCACGGACTGAGGACGTGTCGTCGGAAATCTACGACATGCCACGGGCTGATTATGAGCCTGCGTGTGACATAAGTTCATCCGAAGAAGCTCTGAATAATGTTGTGGAGCCAGAGGCGGTCGGAGTGATGCCACCATCAAGCGTACCTCATGCCAGTCAGCTGTCAGCGCTGTCAAGCAACCCCTCTGGGGATTTCAGAAAAGTGGGAGTGTCTGGTTCGAGTCAAGGTGGTCAGCAAGCACCGGGGATTGGCGCTGGGGCTGGTTTACCCCTTATCACTCAGGCTGGGCCAGTGCAGCAGCAGCAGCCTGCTTCTGCAGCCAGCGCTGGGCCAGCGAGTGCGTCAGTGAACACATCCCAACCTGCTGCAGTGCCCAGTTCAGCTCCACCTCCTGCCACCTCCACGATGAGTTGCTCCTCGCGGTTCAGGGTCATTAAACTTGATCATGGTACTGGAGAACCGTTTCGGCGAGGCAGGTGGACGTGCACGGAGTTTTATGAGAAGGACTCTGAGAGCTCTGTTGTTGGTCGGACTGTGGATAGCATGAGACATGCCAACACAGCACTGGACCCTGCTGCAGACAGAGACAGTGGGCTCGGGCTTACAGGAGGATCTGCCGCAACCTCAACAACGCCCTCGAGTCATGGCTTGGGCTCCATGGCGGACTCTTCTCTCTCTTCTAGTCGTGTGCACTCGGTGGAGGCGCAGCCACCGCAGCAGCAAATCCACCATCAAAACTACAGCGCCCGCCAACAAGGTGTGAGTGGGTCGGTCACGCACAGTTCTTTCTCCAGGCCTACGGCTGTTCCGGCTCAGCCAGCAGTGGCAGGTCTGCAGCCTCTTGTTCCACAGAACCTGCTGCCTGTCGAGCAAAACGGCCCACCTCAATCCGGTGTCCTCATACAGAAGTCTCCCATCATGCCTCTCTCTGTCCAACCAAGTCCTTACCCTCCTCAGCAGCAGCAGCAGCAGCAACAACAGCTTCCTGTGGGCCAGCACCTGGCCGGCCAATCACCTGGACTGATGCAGAACCAGGCAGAGTACTATCAGCAGCACCACTCTGCACCCCTGCCACCAGGGCTTGCCTCAGGCCAGCCCCACCCAGTGTCCAGCCAGGGACAAGGACCCACTTCGGTGATGCCTACAGCCTCTGGAGGGGCATCTGCGCCAAGTCAGGCTGTAGATGTTCTTGGAGCAGCAGTAGGAGGAGTACTTCTACCTGCTGGACAGCCAGCTCCAACTGTCTTGCAGCAGCAGACTGTAGGGATGGGAGCTGCTGGAGGCCCCGTATTGGTTGGTGGATCTGCTCTGAAGCAGCAGACTGTGAATCTTTATGCCACCGCTGGACAGCCTCAACCCCACGGCCACCCTCCATCCTCTGGTGTACAAAACGTGCCTGCCATTGCAGTGAGTTCCAGTGTGCCCCCCACTGTGCCCACTGTTGTGCCCAGTGCCTCCAGTGCAGCAAAGCCAAATGTGACAACCCCGAGTTTGCCTCCAGGTCAGATAGCCCACAGCAACACTGCAGGGGCTTTGGGGCCACAGGGCCTCCCAGTGACTGCATTTGGTCAGGTGGAAGCTGGTGGTGGGAGGAAGTCAGATGGAATCATCAACATACAGTCTCCAGTTGTCTCTGTGAAGGAACCAGCTAAGCCCTTCATGCCTGAGAGCCTGCAGCTCACCACTCCGACTGTCAACAGCATATTTGCAATCCACATACCTGTCGACGGGGAGGAGGACAGGTAATATATTTCCAAGTCTTTATATTAATATCCCTATCCCTGTTAAGCTTCACATCATCACTGCTGATCCTCTCTAAAACTACCCGTAATGAACACCGCTCAAAAAATCACAATGACCATGCAAGGACTAAACATGCTTAATTTAGTCCACAGCAGGGGAGAAGTTTGTCACACGTTTAGCCATTTGCAGAAAGATGAAAAGCCGTAACAAACAGCAGCACTGTGTGCTTGTTAATACGGACAGGGTTTTCCCCGTAGTTTCAGGGAGGTATTGAGGAAGGGGAGTATGACGAGGAAGAGAGTAGTGGCACACAGGAAGGAAATATGTTTGCTGTTTTAATATTGGGGCCTAAAGCAGTCAGTGGAGTGTAGCACACTTCCCCAGCACAAGAAACAACTTGTTAAATACACATGGCTCCTGTATCACAGTGACTCTGTGACTCCTTGTGTGTAAGGGTGTGTGTGTACGTGTGAGTCTCCAGCTTTTACTCCAGCTATCACCCTCTAGGACAGTGTGTGAGGTGATGGCCTTGGCTGCAAACCTCACAGATGTTTTGCTGGTTGCTACTATGTGTAAGGTTAGTTCAGTGTTCAGTTAGCCAGGCTAACTGAGGCTGCACTGCACATGTACAGCAGATTTTATTAAGTCAGGTCCTGTTTTAGAAAATCCGTTCTGATACAAACATAATGAAGAGTATTTTATTTTTTAAATGTATTTTGGGGGGGCATTGCTACAGTTAGCCCCACCAGGTACTGCTCACTAAAAATGTTTAGAGAAGTTTTGGGCATTTACATTGTTAAATTTGTGATGTGGTGTCACATAAGGAGTCTCTTTGTAAGCAAATGTCATCTACAAAAGATATCACAATTGCGCATGATTTGATTTGTGAACTAAAAAATAGGAGTATGTGAAGTTTGCATCTCTTCCAGAAATGATCTTTCTCTCAGTAGTAGATGGCACACATGAGCGGAAATGATTTAAAGCCTGAAATCTCTCAGTGGTTTCCATTTACAGTCTTAGAGATGTACCAGAATGTAGACCAGACAGGATACGCAGCCTGCAGAGCACTGGCACTACTTTCTTTCTTCCTCTCGAGCTGTATGTTGAAGTGTCAGTTTGTAATGTGCACTTCAAGGAAGTTTAAAGTGCTTCGATGACTTCTGTCATTTCTGTGACTGGCTTTTATTTTGTTTTATTTTTTAAAAATCCTTTATTTGTTTACATTTTGGCACTTATAAATCATTTTTGAATTATTTATGGATGTTATTTCTAAATGGACATCGGAGATTATCTTACTAGATACTGATGAGTCTGTGTCACACAATAACATAAATACATTTGCACAGATATCACTCATGACATCGAGAACAATTTATTTTCTTGATGCAAATGATTGCAATTGGACTCAAAAAGCCTTCCAAACACTTTAGCTGCCACTATGAGAAATACATGTCAGCTTTTGACTCATATAAGCATGTCCAACCAGCAAGCCAAATCATACAACTTAAGCTTTGTTTTATCAGTTTCACGCAGTATCTCTGCAGTATGTGTCCATCCTGAAAGTCTTTCGCACCATGAGAGGGAGATGAGCTTCGCAGGTTTATATTCAGCTCTTCACTTGATCTGTTTAAGTTGTAATGACCACAAGCCAGTTATTTTGAGTGCACTTTTTTAATATCAGGTGACATTTCAAAGGTTATTAATGTCTGTGATAATGTCACTCTCTTCGGGCGCTAGATTTTTGGAGCACCTATAGTTTGCTTGTGAGAAGACCGAGCTCCCGGGGTGATAAGAGCGGGGGTCTCTTACGACAGCCAAGCACTATCAGACACTGAGCAGTAGTTTTTCCACTGTGCCCCTGTTTTGCCGATAAGAGACCTCACAAAGGGGCGTGTCAACCAACTGTGCGTTGTCACGCAATGGCCCCTTTCTTTTGCAATGCAAGTTTAGGCTAAATTACCCTGTTCTGTTTAGAGCCTTTGGACAGGAGCAAACATACATGTTTCATAGTAAGGGTTCACACTCATCTGTAAGTCATTCAAAACACCGGCTAGCGTACTGCTCTCTGTTGGTGTGGTCAGCATGCTGTCTGCCCCTCTGACTGACAGAAGAGGCATCACAGTTGCTCACGTACAGATGAAGTGTTGAATGACATTCCTTTACTGCAGCAACTGAGTTAAGCACAGAAGAGGAGGAAGAAGTTGCGTACTGAAACCTGCTGTGCCTCTCTTTAGTAGGCATTTTAGCTATGCCTGGCACACCTCCCTCCTGTAGCTTTAAAAAAAAAAAAAAAAACATGTTTCCATTCTTAATTTCTACATTTCTACTGCACTGTTTGTTTCTCTCCATACTCATGTGTCAAACAACAAGAAAATTCATGCTCATTAAACTTTCTCTTTTTTTCTGTAGACACAAATTAGGCTTTTTATTGCCAAATAAACAGACTGTAGCATAAGTGTGAAAAAAGTGAGACCTTTCCCGACTCTCTTGGTTGACTCACCCCGTGGAGTGCCTGCTGTATGAGGTATTTTGGACAGATTTTTGCACAAAACTCACTCCCTAGTGCCTATCCTCAGTGCTTTCTCTTCCTCTCCCAGCAGTAACAGTGAGCAGCGCTAGCTAATGGCAGCTCAGAAATGATAAGGCCACTATGGAATAAGTCATTCATTTCAACAAAAGGCAGGGTGTAACTGTCCAGTTACAGTGCCAATTCACATCAATCGCTTCTGCAATGCACTTTATTTAGTAAGATCCTACAATATTACAAAAACCCAACAATCAGACGACCCCCTGTTAGCACTTGCCGAAAGTGGGAAGTAGGGCTGTGCGATATGAACAAAATCTCATATCCCGATATAAGAATTCTATCGTCCTGATAACGATATAAATCACTAAAATGTAACATTTTCTGTAAATTCTGTGAATCTTGGGCAGCTCGACTTGCGGGAAGTGTTTCCAGCTGCGCGTCATGTAGCTGGAGTCGAGTGTTTTAACCGATGCATGAAACTCGACATTTTTAGACATAAGTTGTAACGGCCGACGTTTTCTTTGTGAGTATTTATTACACAGCGTGCTGCGGGGAAAAGCCTGTTCTAACGTTTGAGTCTAAGGTTTGTTTTTTAGCACCTGACGGCTCTTTTTTTTTAACTTCTCATCTGTAAATAATCTGCTCTTTCACGTGATTCAGTTTATTTTGAAAAGTCTCAACAGGATCTTGTGCTTTATTGTGAAAGGTTTATGTGGAACATAAACAAGCGGACACGCGATGGCGTTACCGTCGTTGTTGCTAACCACAACGCATAAAAACAGGCGCTTGTCCTTCAATAGTGTGGTTATATTAAATATAAGAGAAAGAGACAACTTTAAGAAATTAATATAGCCACTACAGTGAGCATCAAAACGATGAAAAAATATTGCCGTAAACAGTTTATTTTGCGACACCACGAAACAAACGATAGTGTAAAATGAAACGATAGATGTTTTTATATCGTCATCCGATATATATCGTTATATTGAACAGCCCTAGTGGGAAGGAAAATTTCCCTTTGAAACAGGAAGAAATCTCTGGCGAAACCAGGCTCGAGCAGGGGAAGCCATCCAGCCCAACCAGTTGAGGGTTAGGGGAAAGAAGAGCAAAACAAGACTAAGACATTCACAAGGTGGTTTTCAGTATAGTAACGTATACTTCTTTGTGACTAATGTCACACTGGGGATTGACAGCAACTATTCACCAACTGGTCATGGAGTACATACGTTCGTTTAGGTACAGGTGGTTACCAGGGGGCACTGATTGACCTCTAGGTCAGCATGACTGGGGCTTAGCAGTCAGTTTCACTGTGACTATAATCGGGGACTACACGTCTTTCCTGACCTGTAGTTACCACTGATTGTTGATCGGTTTGATTGGGGCCTTAGCCATCTTAATATATCCATTTGTACTAGATATGTGTAACATGTATACAAAAGTTCAGGGTCTTTTGTATGTATGATTTTTATGCATGCAGTTCATTAAAGGTTTTATTAGTAATGGCAGCTTTCTTTCTTATGCTGAGTGTTAATATCAAGTGTCTTAACACCTCCCAATAAAACATGCATTACATAGTATTTATTGCATCTTTTAAAGGGTTATAGACTTCATAGTGCAGAAACTGGAAAGACTCTTACATTTGTCCATAGCTTCCTTCCCCCATTTAGTTTTGCTCACAAGTAATTAAAATAAAACAATGGCTATATATACTCGAGACTGAAGATGCTGTTCTCATTTTTAGAATATGGTTTTCTCAGCTTAATGTTTCCCAGATGGCTTCAACAACCGAAGGCATAAAACAACATTTCTGGATTGCCATAATGTCTTTGCCGTACTCACAGAGGGGGGGATGGCTGCTATTTTGCAAACTCATCATAAATGTATTGCAACTGAAGTCTGTATGTAATTGAGCCTCATGCTGGGGGGGCATGGTTTATTGTCCTCACATAACGGGAGCTTATGTAAGATCAGACTCCTTAGGAGGTAGGAGAGAGGAGGGGAGTCCAGGTTTGCGATATAGTTACTGCCACAGTGAATTGAGAGACTGTGCTCGTGTGGGTGGATAAGAGGTGTGTCTTTAAGGGGATGGCTGGACTCCATGAGCGCTTGCGTATGTGTGCACAAGTATCCATGCTGGGGGTGGACGTGGATAAGAACTGCTTATTCATTTTTAGTCATAGTGGAAGTGGTAGCTCTGTGTGTGAGAGTGAGTGTGACACAGAGACAGCATGTACCACAGGGTCTTTCCCTCCCATCGCTGACCTCTCCTCTAACTGCTGTATCCTGTTTTCAGTCACAGTCGCTCACACTGCTCTCCACCTTCTATTCATTTAATATTCCTTAGCTGACTCCCTGCTTCCTTGCTTCATATCATATGACATTTGGTGGGTACATTTTATCCACAGTGCTTCACTGAGGTACAAGTCAACACTTAAAAAAAAAAGTGGCTTTGATTGGAATGAAAGTTTTTAATCTGCCTTTCGGCTGTAATACCCTTTGAGCTGCACAGCAGCGAGCAGTAGATCTACAAGTATCTTTATTTGCATTTAACATCAATGTAATACTCTCTTTTTCTGGCTGTAAATATTGAAATGGAGCCTCAACTTTAGGTGTGTGTTTCTGTGTGCACTAGTCAAGTTGTTCTTCCTCTATGACCCCAGCCTAATCTCAGCCTTTGAGTTATTTTTATAAAAGAAGGGTGTATTGTTCTAGTTTGACCGGCACTATTAGTCAGTATGTCTGTAGGCTTTGCTGCAGTCATCCACCCCTCCACCCCAGGTGTAGAGGCTCAGAATCCATGTTGACAGGTTGTGTTTTTGTTTCTTTTTTTCTTTGAGACCAGTGGGATTATCTGAAATAATGCAACGGTCTTCTTATGTCAGTCTCACCGGTGTAGAAAGAAGGCTAGCATGTGACTCGGGCGTGCAAAATGTCAGTTTTATGTGTGCAGCCATTAGAGAAGCAGGCATGTACGGATTAAAAAGAACTGATAAGATTGGAGGGGTTGTGTATTTTGGACTCAGTTTTTAATTTGCATCCCACCTGAAGCTCTTCATTTTTCTCACAAGCAGAACAGCTTCACCAAGTTGGTCCGGTGTTTAACTGGGGATGTGCTGTACTGTGTTATAGATAAGCTTAGCTCACAGTGTTCTTTTTATCTTGCTTGTGGAAAGCAAAACATTAACAAGTGACACAATAATTGAAAAAGTCTTTAAGCAGTTTTGTTCTTTGGTCAATTAAATACCAGCTTCTTTTAGCCCAAGTCTTTTAATCTACACATATATCTATTCACTGCTGCTGTCAGTTATTTTCCACTACATACAATTTAGTTTTCCTGTGCCTGCATGGGCTTCCTCTGGGTGCTCTGTCTCTCGGCTGTGGAAGGAAACCATACTTGTTGGGTTAATTGGTGATTCTAAAGTGTGTGTAAGCTTGTCTCTCTCTATGATTGGCAACCTGTCCAGGCTGTACCCCGCCTCTCAAACCCAAGCTGAATAAGTGGTTCAGAAACTGGATACAATCCACTTTAAGATCTACGCATGTGGGATATGTTTAGATACTCCTAAGGCTCCATCTAATACCAGGAACTAGACTCTGGAACTAAAAGTTGTTTTATTTTTTAATGTGCTATTTCCTCGCATCTCTAAAAGTAGCTTGATAAAAGCAGATTTAAAAGTGTTCGGTTACTCTTGGGGAGTGCCCTAAAAGGAGCGACAAGATCAAAAAAATGCAACTACCTAGTTTTGCTATGCTAAACATGAGGTTATAAATTAGTTTGAACGCTAAAATCCAGGTTTCCAGTCTCCTCTGGTAGCTCTGCTGTAATCGTGCAGTTGCTCTGGGTCCTTCTTGCTCTCCATCTCCCTTGACTACAACCTAAAACCTGCTGAAAGAAACCTCACGAGGCCACTGAAATCTAAATAGTTTTGACCTACTTGTGCTGTGTGGCAGATATATGGATTTTGCTGAAAACCTGATTCCTCATGTGCACCAACAATGAGAGCTTTCAACAGCCCCTTATAGCCTCTCCCTCTTCTTTGTGCACAACTTGCCTCCAGATTACTCTACCTGTCCAGTTAGTACCAACACTACCAGTTTGTTAGTGATCCCTCAGCCCCCTTTTTATAAACTCAAACACTCTCTATCCATCCAATGGCCATGTTTTTGATGGAGGGTAGAAAGGGGATGATTTGCACTGCAAACAGAAGAGCAAACTTCCCCACCTTTGTAAAACTCTGTAGCTCATTTGGCCCCGGTTTGAAGTTTCGGTGCTTCTGCTGTGAGGGGGACCTTGAGTGAACCATGCCGCCTCTGCAACACCTTGACTGGAGAGGAAAATATCTAGGTTGACACCTTTTTGTAGTCTTCGTGTTTCCCTCTCACACTTTTGCTCTTTGATATTTTCTCCTCCTGCACTTCTGCATGCTCTCGCTCTCCAACTCAAGCTTCCTACCCCGCTCCCCCTTTGCTTCATCACTTAAGGCTGTTGTGGGTTTTTCACATGCTCAGCTACTTGGCAAGGTTATTAAGAGGTTCAACACCGTGACCTAAACCTGCAAACCACTGGTTTGCAGAAACAAGGGGGGGGGAGAGATAAAAATAAATAAATAAATAAAGAATGCACGTGTCATGCCCCAGCTTAATGTGTGACATCAACCAGCAAAAATGCATCCAGGAGTTATTTTCAGATTATTTCCTGCCGCCTGGTCATACATTAGCTTTAGGGTCGTCTCGAGCAAAGCCTGAGCATGTGCAACCTTCTTTTTTTCAATCAGGTAACCTTGTGGGATCTCAGAGAGTGGTTAAAAAAGAGGGGGGGGGTTATTTTCATTGTGTGTGCACATCTGTTGGGTTATGTGTTCCCTCCTTTTGTACGACACACACATATATATATACACACACACACTCTGGATTTTGGGGTTTATGGAGGAGGCTGCATGTTCTCAGCTGCTGAACACGGTGACTGTCTGGTTTACAAAGAGCAGCTTTCATAAAGGGATATTGACATGTTGCCTTTTAGACTGACAAAGACAGCCTTTGAGAGTCGAGAGTTTGCTACTTGAAGACAGAGAATGATGACTCTTCTGGTTCTTACCTCATTCATCAAGAGGCTACCCAACTCCAAGTCATCTGACCTTGTTGATTTCAGTCGATATAGGACTTGTGCAGAGCTTTAGCCTTGAAAAACTGAGGTTTTCCTGTGGAGGCGTGCCTGGCACACGTGTGTGGGTGTGTGTGTACAGAGATTTGCAGGCCACAAAGTAATATTAAGCAGAGCCAGAGCTAGTGAGAGTGTTAAGTCATGAGGTAATGTGACAAAGGCAGTTTGTGCCAGAAATTTCTAGGAAAAGAGCCTTGGCTGCTATAATATCCACACACATGCTGTAAATCTACACTTTACTGTGCGTGTGTGTGCACGTGCAGTCAGTGCGCATTTGTGTTAGTGTGAATGTGAGAAAGAAGCAGTCTTAAAATGCACAGACTGAGAGTGAATGAAGTATATCTGTGTGTCTGTGTGTTGGGATTGGGGGGGGGGGGGGGGGGGTACGGGGATTTCCTTTGCCTTCCCCTCATGCATGTGTTGTTAGAACACAGTGTACTTGTAGCTAGTTACCAGGAATATGGGGGGTAGAGTGAAATTGAATAATGTGATTGTATTTGACTCAAATTAACCAGGAATTGATCAGGAAAAAGATCCAGCTTCATCCTCATCAATACCGATATTTGATCATGTAAAAAAAAAAAAATCAATATTCTGTCATATCAGCCGATTATTTATTTATTTATTTATTTATTTATTTATTTATTTAAAGACACAAACTGTTAACAGGTTCTTCTAAAAATTGCCCACCTCTGCTCAGTTACAGTCGTTTTTGTGGCATTTCAAACACGTCTTGACATGAGGAAATTTGTAGAGTGCCCCCTGGTGGGCTGTCTGTGCAGTATCCATACGCCTGGCATGATTGAAGGGTGTTTCTCGCATCTCTTTTTTTGCTTTTTAAATGTTCATTTATTGGCCATTGTAAATGCAGATACAGATAACATCAGCCCAGCAATAAAGCAGTTGTGCTCGTGTATTTGTGTGTCTATAAAATTTGTTGTTGTTTTTTTTGTTTTTTTCTAAGGTTCTTAAAAACATTTTTTTAAAGGTCTTCCCACCAGCAGAATTTGAAAACTGCTTTCTAGTGTCATTAGGCATAAATACCACTCTGTTCACTGGGAATCCCTGCCATTCTTGGAAGATGCTCACCATTCCCGTCACATCTACTCTCCTACGGCTGCATTGCTAAAGATAAATTGGCCAAACGTTTGGTGTCTGTCAATATCCTCCATTTGGAAAGATACTGGCCTGTTAGCAACTGCAAGGACATTTATCAGTGTCAGTTGCAGATTGTGTCACGTTAATTTTACACTGGATATATGTTCAAAGATAATGTGAGAAGAAGCTAAGCAACTAACAGATATTTATTTAAATTAACATTTTAGCATTTTGCACTTCCCTTATTTCTGATCTGCAGCGTAGCAAGTAGTCATGTGTTTCTTCTGTTTTTGTTTGTCAGTGGTAGTTGGCAGAAAACATTTGAGTGCATTCTGGCAATAGAAACTGCATTGTCAGGTTTTTATTGGCTCAGAATCGTCTCCAGGAGATGATTATGTAAGCAAGGATAGTCTGCTTAATGTCTGTTCTGTTCTGCTTGCCTAAATGAAGCCCCGATTTAAAAAAGGCTATTTAAAAATGCTAATTTTACTAATTAAACCAAAACCTTTGTTATATATCATCAAGGAAAAGCATATATATTTTTGAACTAGAAGTAGTTGCGCAAGTCATTTGAGTTTAAAATATATGAAATATTCTTACCATCCCTCGTCTGCACATGCACAATTCTACAGTGACGTTCAAATATCCAAGACAAATGATGTGTGTGTGTGTGTGTGTGTGTGTGTGTGTAATCAGGGAGTACAACTGAGTGATCAGCATGTTGACGGTTAAAAGCTGGAGGGAGGTCCTTAATGTGTTTGAAGCTGTCCCCACCTTTGAACATAACTTCCTGTGTTTAATTGAAGACCTCAGACCTTTGCTTTACTCTCTTTGAATCTTCCCATTAAGACTAAGAGCCTTAACTCTAGTCATGTTTACTGCTAGAGAGTTTTGAAGATGTGTGAGAAAGCATTTGTAGGAGTCAAACTTGAGTCTGTTTTCACTGTCGCAGCTCTTCACTCTGTCTCTGTCTCTTCTCTCTTCCCTGAATGCGGTTGACACAGGAATCCCTCCAAGGCTTTCTACCAGGCCTTCCAGTCTGGCAGCAGATTAAGAGACTCAAAGGCGCACATTGATAGGTACAGTACTGGATTGGTCCGGGCAGGCCTGCAAGAGTGTAACATTGTGTGTGCAGTGTTCAGTAGCAGCGAGCTTTGCTTTTTCCACGTGCATGGATTGAGTTTGGAAACGAAGCCTGGCTGCAAGCGCAGGATTAGCCAGTAGATTTCTCAACCGGCATCTCTTCGCTCTGTTATTTATTTATTTTTCCCACTGCTTCTCACTAGCAAATTAACGCAGTCTCTTTTTAAGATGTCATATATTGTGTGTGTGTGTCACTTAAACGTTGAAATTTTTCAGTCGGCCACTATTAATCCAACAGCTGACTGTGTTTCGTAGTGCAAACTCTAGGATAGTCTGGTAGTGTACACAGTTGTTGATCACAGGAATGGAGATGTCCACACTGTAGCCTTCTTCTGTAATGCTAAAGAGCAATATTGTGCTCTCAAACATCAAATACATCTAACAGCGCTTGACACTTCTAAATGTCATTCTGGTTTAAGTATTGTGAAGTGACAACAAAGAACATGAAACAACTCGATCAGAGCAGTTCTGCAGACTGATAGGACTTTTAAGCTGATGTTCATGGTTTAAACATGCATACAGTTCCGTGTAAAGCAGTAAACTGGTCTGGTGGCTCAGAGATGACTCGAAGTTCAGCGAAGTTTATTTTATTTTATTTTTTTTTTAATTCTTAGAAAGTGCCTCAAACTATGAAAACAATCCAATGAAAATACTTTAAACTTGTTGTTTCAGCTTTAAAGTGGCTAAAAGAGGCGTGAAGAGTGTGTGCATGCTCTCTGCAACACTGGAGTTAAATATGAACCTGAGTAAAGCCAGGTTTCTAGTGCGCTCTTTCTGCACTCTTTCCTGCCAAATGGTTTTTATTCACGGTTACATTTTAAATTCATCATGAAATGATTCATTTCCTACATGACAGCGAGGTAAGTAGATGGCGTAGCGAGACAATCGGAGGGGCGAACATTTTTCTGATGCCATTTACAAAAATGAAAAGAGAAGCACATGAAACCATATCTCAGTGACAGGAAATGAAACTGTTTTAGAGAAATATACAGCTTACACACAACCAGCCGCTGAGGAACTACTCGCTCACACACATGTACGCACACACACACTTTCATGCACGTGCATATACAGTAATGTCAGCCCTTTTGGCGCCTTAGCTGCTTTGATTTAAATTTGAAAAGATAGATCAGCGTTGTGGTGGTGTTATCCAGAGTGTGATGCTGCGTGGCGTGCACGTGATTTCTACTCTTGGCTGAAGGCAGCAGCAGTGTAAGATGGCACAAATGTTTCGCCCCATGCATTCTTTTTTTTTTTTTTTTTTTTTTCTTTCTTCTTTTGGAGCGCCGTTGTTGTGGGTACATTGTCCCATCAAGGACTGCTTTTGTTTCCTTGGATGCAAAGATAACCAAAGTTTTGTTTGATAGATTTGGGCGATGGCCGTTTGACACGTGATCCGACTCTTTTATACGGTTGGTTTGGGATGATGTGTGAGGCGACCAGATGAAGGCGGAGAAAGTGAAAAATTAATATCCTGAAGGTCTTTTTTTTTTCTTCACCCGTGTGTTGGAAATGATGTTCCAGATGACACCCATCCGCTGGAATAAGACCACATGGGCTGCTATATCATAGCATCATTCCTGCATTTCTTTTTGTATAGAAGTGAAACCATCCGTTTCATGTTTGTTTACAGAGAACTGTGCCTCATCTATACTTCCCTAACATATGCAACCCTACCATAACTCTGCTTTGTACTTTAAAGGGCCGTTTACATATGAAGCACTCAGGCCAAAGACAGTCAGCAACATAATTTAGGAGGGTTCAGAGTAAACTTCTTAACTTCTTGGCAAGTGATTGACGTGACTACCAATGACCGCGATTGACATATGAGGGGGTGGTAGAGGGTTACCCAGCCAACCAGAGCCTTTTGTCAGCTACTGACCAGTCGTAAGGGCGATGGTGGAAATGCTTCCTGTGTGGAGGCCTGTTTAACCTGAAAAACCTCCTCAAAGTAGATCTACATCAGTTGTATAGGAAATTCACCCATTTGATCATCTCCATGGGTCACATGTTCCCAACAGAAGAACGCATGTAGGGTCGCCTCTGTCTCCTGCCAGGTTTTTCATTTTGTTTACTTTTTTCTTTAATATATTTTTATATTTCCAGAAGAATCTGTTTTAGAAGAGCTTAAAGGCATGGCACCTATTGACCCCTGTCAGACCTGTGGGTGTATTATACAGATATTAGGGTAAACACACTGATACATTTGACAATATCAGCCTTGTTGAGTTATCAGCAAATAGAATGACATTTACAGATAAAGAGAGCAACAAAAACTTGATGTCTTAAAAAGGAAAACGTCTCGTCAGCTGTCAATTTATTTATTTTTTAAATATCAGACCTGGTTCAGAATATTTACAGTTCCTGGTATCATTATCCATTCATGACCCAATATGTGTTCATTTATTTTTGCATGCTGCCAAAATCGATCAACACATTTAAAAATGTCGTTAACCACCAAGTCAAATAAAGCCCGTCAGCTTTCTTGGGTAATAAATATATACTGCTGCTTCATAATTACACCAAAGCCACGCTCGAGTTTTGAGGCTTGCTGTTTGGTTATAATTATAGCACTTCCTCATTTTGTTCTCTGTGGCGGACTGCCTTCCTACAGACACAGCTGTCTAATGTAACTGTGGAAGTTCACAGGTCTGTGATAAAAATGAAAGTAAATATTTGTGTGGTTGCAGTACCAAGCTGCTTAGAAAGAGAACACAGATTTCCCCCTTTAAATTGGGGGCGTCTTGGGGGCATGACACGAGAATATTGTCCCGTGCACCTGTTGTCCTTGGGCACATGATCAGCCTCGCCTTCACCTCCCAAGCTCTAAACTTGTATCATCATGTCTCTTTTTTTTTTTTCTTTTTTTTTGCTAATGTTGCTGAAGGAAACTTAGTGGTCTTAAATATGGCAGCAGTTCTTTCAGGGAGAAGGAATGACAACTATTTGATGTGCAGATGACTTATGCATGCCCGCCGCTCCACTTGCCCTGGTACTAGTGTAAACCTCTCTAGCGCTAATGGACTTTTTATTGGCATTCCTGTTTTACAGCTAGCACTGTAAGGGAAGCTGCAAACTTCTGCCGGGAGCTTATAAACTTCAGTCCTGTTGGTGTAGAAGGTGAAGTTTATAGGAGCGATCGGTTGTATAATCAGCGGCAGAGTAAGTTCAGACCCTCATCTGAGCCCAGCCTTTAGGCCTCCGGGATTTGACCCCACATACATCAGCGGTCGTACAGTGCTCGCTTTGTAATGCTGTCAAAACGGAGGAGGCGGCTCCGCCGAGCATTTAACGTGATTTGGTTCAAAGTCAGGCGCTCAGACTAGTTCTTGGCTTTCACAGGAGCTCTAGAGACTTAAACAAGATCATGTGTATCAGCAGAGCTCGTACCAGTGCTCCAAAACACTACTGATGGTGCAGTTCCCAAAAACCAAAAATCCCCTCCCTCCCTCAGTGCCAGTTGTTCTTGGAAGTTTTACTTCGAATACCAGATGGTCTCCTAATATGGTTTTGACTTGTTGTGAGTGTTTTGTTTTTTTTTGTTTAGTTTTTATACATGCCTGCTTCAGTCTGTATGTCCAGTCATAGTTGAGAGGAGCTGCCCAAACCATCATGACTTAATAGAATCATATTTACCCACTTGTTCTGACAGACTCTTAATAAAGGTTGATTGTATTATTGTTTTCCAGTCTCCATAGTTACAGTTTGCTGGCTTGTCACATGTTTCCCCTGACAGTGCACATGGGGTTTTTTAGAGTTTTCCTGGCCGTTTTATTCTCTGATTTGATTACAATAGTCTCAACCCAGCTCTCTGAAACCAGCTGGAGGAAACCCCAGGAGAAAATGCTTCATACCCCCCTGCTTTAATTACAATGAGGTCATTTAAAGGCACTACAGAGGAGTATCACATTTAACCTTGGATGACAGTAGAGCTGAAACCAGGCTGGAAGTTAATCTGCAGCAGTTTTGATAGAATTTGCACAATATGGCTCCCTCCATTAATAATTGTTCTGCCATGTGAGTTGTCACATGAGGGTTGGACCCAGGTTTCCACCCAAACTGTAGATTTATCCAGAAAATATGGAAATTTACTGTATCCTGTATAATCCACAAAGCGTCTGGCCTTAGCTGTGAACATCTGTCATCGTTTTCCTGTCTCATCCCCGTCACATTTACAGTTTTTTCACATCAGTTTTATCAACTTGACTTGCTTTTCTTTTAAGAGATTATATCGGCTCTTCTTATTTTGTCTTTGGCTAGTCCAGTTGAAATCCTGCCGTTCGTCTTTCTCAAAAGTAGAACTTCATGCGTGGGTATAAGCAAACTTTGGGCTCTAACAGATTCAAACAAGCCTGTATTTATACATGTGCAGCTGCAGAGTGTGATCCTGTTATTAGCAGAGCATGTTTTTGTTTGCTGTACTATCTGAAAACCACTGGTGAAGCAACAAGGGTGTAACCCAGCGAGTCCATTAAGGCTCAGTATTTTATAGACTGAGAGATTCCTCTAGGCACAGGCCTATTGAAAACTCCTGTTAGGGAGGAAAGCTATAGGAGGTCCTGAGTGCGGCACCACGTCTAAATTAAAGACACGTTTGGTACTGGGTGAAGCTGATGTTATTTTCCTTGTTTAAAGTGTTTTGCTTGTATAAGCACTCATGGTGGGGGTCACATAATGTCTGAGGGAACGACATAAAGAGACGTTAATGAGCGAGTGCTGAATTTTATTTCGTGAAGTGATGGGCGTGATCTGCGCCTCTAGCCATGATTGCACCATGTGCATCTTGTTCATAACATCTGCATTTTTTTAATTTATTTTTTTCCCCCGTCATTGTGTGACATGCTGGCTTGGAAGTGGTGTTTGACATTATCATATCTGGCAGTGACCAGAGGTAGGAGTGGAGGACAGGAGTGTGAGTGACGGTGTTTCCCAGCAGCAGGAGTATGGGGAACATTCCTTCCACAGTACAGCCTGCTGATAAAGATCATCCGAGTCTTTCTGCCGGCCTCTCACACCCACACTAGTTACATGTAGAGGAACAGAACAACAGTAGGAGTCTACATGTATTTGAAGGCACCTTAGTACCGCGTGGTGGCAATGATTTTTTTCATAGCTTTTTGTTGCAGGTGTAAATCTGCATCTTATTACAGCTGAACTGATCCTTTTGTTTGTTTATGAGATCAGGAATCTTACTAAGACACTAAGTGATAATTAAAAATGAAAACACTGCTATAATAAGATTTTTCACCAAAGTACAGAGTTAGAAGATATGCAGCTGGACAGCTAAGCTCATCATGTCCCCCTGGTGGAGAAAGTATGTAATAACATCTTACTGATTTCTTAAAGTGCTAATTTCTACTTTCTGTATTTATATTGTTTGACTCAGCTAGAGCAGGTTTGCATGTTTTAGTTTCACCATTTTCAGCTCCTCTTAAGGATGAGGCCAACTTTGATTGGTTCCCTCCCACAAACAGCCAGACCTGTTTATGCCTCTGACATGGCACAAAGCTCACCTCATTATTAGAAACTTTAAACATCATTAACTGAATATATAAGAAATAGAAATAAATTCCTTATTTGGTTACTTATTCTTATCACTGATCACCGGGATAACTTCAGTGATAGCAATGTCTGTAAATCAATCCACAGTTAAATAATTCAGCGATATTTCGAATGTTCTCAATAAACCAGTATATATGTTTATTCCCATGAGCAAGATGGAAGATATTAAACAAAGTTAATGGAACAAATGTGGATGGGGGAGCTGAATCCCAGAGGAAAACTGGGTTATTGTGCAGCTGTTGCACATATTCTGCAGACACAGCATATGCCTGCTTGTGTACAGCTGCCTCTGTAACATTTGGATGTAACAGTGGGGGATAATTGGTTTGATCAGCAAGTATAGCTTGCAGTGGATCAAAATTATATTTTAAAGCACGTTCCACCTCGGCCATTTAACTTGCACTTGTAGCCCTGCCGAGCACAGTCGCTGCACTTATCATTCACTATGAAGCCATCAGAGCCAGAAATAATTTCAGACATGTGTCCCCACCTCCTTCAGCTCCTCGCACTTCTCCTCCCATCGGCTCGTGTTTCATTATTCTAAATGCGGTCACAGTTGCCCAGCTAAACCGCCTCCGGTAGGCACCGATGACCTTCTGTGCGCTGCTACCGGTGGAGCTCCAGCAGCGCCATGCCGTGCACGTTTTCCTACAAACCACCGGGCTGCCCTGGGGACCCGACCCGGCTCGCGAGCTGCGATCCGCTGCCCTCCTACCGCACACGCCGCACGTAAGAGCGCCGCTCCTCCTCCCCGCGTGGTTGTAGCTGTGTCTTCACGTTGTAATGGATTTACAGGAGTCAGACCAAATAGCGCTTAATCATAGCTACACATTGATGTGAATCTGGGTGCATGAATATTTGTTTCCAGCGGTGGGGTTAGCTGGCAGCTGCCTTTGGAGATTTATCCGCACGGTCCAGTCATCATGGCTGTTAAACAAACGGATGCATCATTCAAACAAACTTGAGCCTGTTGCCGGGGCCCGGTCTCGTGTCATTTCTCCTGTAGGAGGCCAGGCGTAGATGTGAGAGTGGTGACTGGTGCTTTTGTGTGATCTGACCTAGATGCCTGAGGCGCCTTGTTTGACTGGTCGACCACCAATGTGTCATCTGGTTTCGCTTTTTATCTGGGGTTCTGCTTTATTTCAAGTTGGATTAGTATTTTTGTCCATTTCAATAGAAGTCAGTATTTTCCATGTTTCCGATGTGTTTGGGAACACAAAAGCAGGAAGAAGTCAAATATAGAAAGTAATCATGATGCGATTGTTTGTGTAACTGTACTTTATCTGTCTTTTCTTTTTTTGCAGTGCCTCTGGAACCAATGTTGTTGCCATTGATAATAAAATTGAACAGGCTATGGTGAGTATTCATTTTACCACTAATCATATATGCGTCTCTTTTAAATGAAAAGCTTAGGAATGAGTTCAATGTAGAGAGTGTATACATGTAATAAGACAATGGCTCCTACCACTGGTTAGTTCCCACTTCATGTTTCCCTCTGCTCTCCTTCAGGACCTGGTGAAAAGCCATCTGATGTATGCAGTGCGCGAAGAGGTGGAGGTCTTAAAGGAGCAGATCAAGGAGCTGTACGAGAGGAACTCTGTGTTGGAGAGGGAGAACGCCGTGCTGAAATCTCTGGCCAACAGCGAGCAGCTATCTCAGCTGTCCACCCAGTCGACCAGCAGCTCGGGCGCCGCGGCTTCCCAACCAGGACTCAGCCAGCCTCAGCAGCAAGCCCAGCCGCCGCTTCAAGTTCAGCCTCCATCGCAGTCGCACCCCCAGCTTCAGCACCACCCCCAACCCCAGCAGCTCCAGACTCAGCCGCAGCTCGATCCCAGCCAACAACTGCAACCCAACGTCACCTCTGCTTGAAAGCGCATCAAAAACCAACAAAAGAAAAGCAGAACAGCATCTTCTCTACAACTTATTACAATTAGTGTATGTGAACTTCTTAGCCACCAGCTTGACCACAAAGAGTACAGTGCTTCTGTGCGAGTGTGAGTGTGTGTGTGTGTGTGTGTGTGTGTGCGAGTGTGAGAGTGTGTGTGTGTGTGTGTCCGAGTGAGGAAGCAAGACTGTGAATTGGTGTTAGAATGTGTGCGTGTATGCATCTGTACTGTGGGCCTTTCCAGTGTTAATGCAATCATCAAGAGTGCAACAGACGGACTGAGACAAAGTGTTCAGAGTAGAGTCGGGGAAGGTTGAGGGTTTTTTGTTTTGTCTTTTTGGTTCTTTTGTTTTTTCCATTTTGGCTGTATTCCCAGATTGGTTAACAGCTGGGCTTGTAGAGAGGATGTCTTTTCTTGGACCGGGCCCGAGCCAAACCAACCTGTGACCTGACCCGAAACCAGTAGTTGTTGTTGTGGAAAGCGAGGGGTTTGCCGGACAGACGGGGAGTGATTGTCAAAAAGAGAGCGATTATTTTTTTAAATGAGATAATTGAAGGGGAGGGGTATTTTTAGCCTTGCCGTTTCATGTTGTAAAGAAAAAACTGGGAGTGTTTTTTTTTTTTTGTTTTTTTTTTTTTTTTGTTTGTTTTTTTTATTTGTTTTTTTTATTTGTCTCCTCCTCCTACTCCTCCTTCCTCGGAGCGCCACGCCGCTGCCGTTACTAAGTCCAACTCTTGCATCACTCTTTTGAGTTCTACTGTTAAGTGTTTTTATTTATTACAGGGCTGCTATTTTTCATAAATGAACAATTTAAACAACAAAACCTATTTAACAGGAGCCCAACGACTTGTTTCCTCTCTTGCTTTTTTTCCCCAGTGTTTGAACAGATTGGCCACACATCCCAGACAACAGCTTTATATATTTGTGAAATGCCGACAAACAGAGAAAAATTCTGACAAATGTTTAACACTAACCCAGATTTTTAAGGCTGCAACTGCCAGTTCGTAGCTCAGTCCAGATCCAGTTTGAGTGTATATTTTTGTATAGCATGATGGACTTTTACCCACCGATATCAAATCTTAAGGCCTCCGGTGAAAATTTGATAGGCAAAGGTGAATTAGTATTGCCACGTCCCCTCACTCACTCACATTTTAGTTCTCCATTGGTTTTCCTGAAACGGGGTAGGTGGGTGGGGGCACGGGCACGGTGGCAGTAGTGAAAACATGTACTTTGTAACCAAAGATCCAAAGCTGTGTAAATGTATTTTGAAATGCACACACACCTTTTTTCTTTTCTTTTTTTTTTCTTTTTTTCCCTTGGTTCTCATTTGTTACTTCCTCCTTCACAGAATATTTTTGTTGCTGTTCAGCATGTTCTGCATGATCTGTAATCTTCAAACCACTTTCTTACCTCATTTTTATTCAGCACTCTTATTGTAAGATAGTCTGTGAACAGTGTAAATGGGGACGTGGGGGGGGGGTAATGATGCGCAACAGCGAGCGGAGTAAAATAACCTAGTGTTACCGACACTAGTCACAGCAAAATGAAGTGAGCCATGTTTTGTTCGTTTAAATGGTGTTTGAATTTCATATGCCAATAGTTTTGTTACATTGCAAAATTTTAATGTATTTAAATAAAAGCAATATTCAGATTCCAAACGTGTCTCACCTTTTTGTTCAAAAGTTTAGTGTTTCTGTGTTTGTATGAATAAACAATCTTTTGAATGTGTCCCCAAGTGCAGTCACAAAAACCATCAAGCGCTACGATGAAACTGGCTCACACTAGGACCTACCAGGAGAGGAAGACCAAGAATCACCTCTGCTGCTGAGGATGCATTCATCTGGGTCACCAGCCTCACAAATCGCAAGTTAACAGCACAGATTAGAGCCCAGATAAATGCCACACAGAGTTCTAGTAGCAGACACATCTGTACAGCAGCTGTTCAGCAGAGACTGAGTGAATCAGGCCTTTATTCAATTCAATTTTATTTATATAGCACCAAATCACAACAGTTGCCTCAAGGCGCTTTCTATTTTACAGTAGATCGTACAATAATAGATTCAGAAAAAACCCAACAATCATATGACCCCCTATGAGAAAGCACTTTGGCGACAGTGGGAAGGAAAAACTCTCTTTTAACAGGAAGAAACCTCCGGCAGAACCATGCTCAGGGAGGGGCGGGGCCATCTGCTGCGACCGGTTGGGATGAGAGAAGGAAGACAGGATAAAGACATGCTGTGGAAGAGAGACAGAGATTAATAACAGGTATGATTCAATGCAGAGAGGTCTGTTAACACATCATGAGTTATAAAGGTGACTGGAAAGGAAAAACTCAATGCATCATGGGAATCCCCCGGCAGCCTACGTCTATTGCAGCATAACTAAGGGAGGATTCAGGGTCACCTGGTCCAGCCCTAACTATATGCTTTAGCAAAAAGGAAAGTTTTAAGCCTAATCTTAAAAGTAGAGATAGTGTCTGTCTCCTGAATCCAAACTGGAAGCTGGTTCCACAGAAGAGGGGCCTGAAAACTGAAGGCTCTGCCTCCCATTCTACTGTTAAATACTCTAGGAACAACAAGTAGGCCTGCAGAGCGAGAGCGAAGTGCTCTAATAGGGTGATATGGTACTACAAGGTCCTTATGATAAGATGGGGCCTGATTATTTAAGACCCTGTATGTGAGGAGCAGGATTTTGAATTCAATTCTGGATTTAACAGGAAGCCAATGAAGGGAAGCCAAAACAGGAGAAATATGCTCTCTCTTTCTAGTCCCTGTCAGCACTCTTGCTGCAGCATTTTGGATTAGCTGAAGAATTTTCAGTGAGTTTTTAGGACATCCTGATAATAATGAATTACAGTCGTCCAGGCTGGAAGTAATAAATGCATGAACTAGTTTTTCAGCGTCACTCTTAGACAGGATATTTCTAACTTTAGAGATGTTGCGCAAATGGAAGAAAGCAGTCTTACATATTTGTTTAATATGTGCATTGAAGGACATGTCCTGGTCAAAAATGACTCCAAGGTTCCTCACAGTGTTACTGGGGGCCAAGGTAATGCCACCCAGAGTAAGAATCTGGTTGGATACCATATTTCTAAGATTTTCAGGGCCGAGTAAAAACAAATGGTCAAAGAGCTGCTGAGATTTGTTTGGGCCGAGAAACACAAGGAATGGTCACTGGACCAGTGGAAATCTGTGCTTTGGAAATTAGTCCAAATTTAAAATCTTTGGTTCCACCCACCATGTCATTGTGCAATGTAGAAAAGGTGAATAGATATTCTCTACATGCACGGTTCCCATCGTGAAGCATGGAGGAGGAGGTGTGATGGTGCTTTGCTGTTGGGGGATTTCTTCAAAATTAAAGACACACTGAACCAGCATGGCTACCACAGCGTCCTGCAGTGACATGCCATCTCATCCGGTTTGCATTTAGTTTGACCATCATTTATTTCTCAACAGGACACTGACCCCAAACACACCTCCAGGCTGTGTAAGGGCTATTTGACCAAGAAGGAGAGTGACTGAGTGCTGCGCCGTATGGCCTGGCCTCCACAGTCACATGACCTAAACCTAATCAAGATGGTTTGGCATGAGCTGGACCGCAGAGTGAAGGCAAAAGAGCCAACAAGTGCTCAGCATCTCTGGGCACTCCAGTAAGACTGTTGGAAAACCATTTCAGGCAATGACCTCATGAAGCTCATCAAGAGAATGATGTTCTTTTTGGGGCTTTTAAAAAGATTTTGTAATGTGGTAAATGTTGCAAAAGTGTATTATCCCGGTTGGTTATAGTTTTTTCAAACTAAACTGCTAAAAAAAAAAATCCTTGAAAATTAACACAAATATTAAACTAGAATTATTATAGTAAAAAGTCCATTACCAATGTTTTTCAAGTCCTTTCAGTGGGCGTGCATGTTCACCAAAGAAATAAAAACAAAGCAAAAACCTGTCACATGCACAACTTGACAAAATACCTTAACCCAAAGTTAGAATGTGAGTGGTAAAGGTCTGAGGTGTTTTCTTCCCACTCATCCACCAACTGGACACGGCAGATGGCTGCAGCTTCACGAGCCTGGTTCTGCCGGAGGTTTCCTTTCTGGTAAAAGTGAATTCTTCCTTCCTTCCTGTCAACATGTACTTACTCACCTGGTTGTTAGGGTTTCTGCTGCTATTGTACCATCTTGAAGTATTTGCAGTATACAAATAAAATTGGGAACTGCACTGTAATAGTTCCCAAACCTGTCCAAATGTGAGCAGGTTCACTAATGACCTCCACCAGCATCATGTTGGCGAAAGAGTTAAATAAATCAGGACTTTAACTCATATGTCATATGATGGTCCAGTTCACTGCTTTATGCTACCTCACCGACTTCCTTATGCATTTAAGCAACGGCTTCAACTTCACTGGTCAGTTGTAGATATGAGTTAGATATGAGTAGTTATGGCAACAACAGCTACAATTTCTGAAGCAAGAACACCAACACAATGATATCAGGGAGTCTTGTCGGGCATTAGTGTGCTACCCACCAATCAGAAGCTGTAATAGTCTTTAAAGAGAAACCCATTTATTTAAAGAAACATTACAAAACAACTCTCAAAAATGTCAAAAAAGGTGAAGAGAACATACGTGCCATTCTAGCAAATGCATAGAGGTCCATTCTGAAAAGAAATACTCTGAAGCCAACTTTGATTAGTGTCAAATGTCCCAAGACCAAATGGGGGGGGGGGGGGGGCTCAGTCATTTCCAGTACAGAACGTCCACAACACAAACAGCTGAGGACAATGATATGAACAATGATTGGGGGCTTCCTTTACAACAAACTCTTTCATACTCAAGTCCTCACAGTTGTGCACATCATCCTTGTTTGTCCTGTGGCTTTTTGCCTTCCCTCCAATTAGCAGAGCGAGGCATTGGGGTCTGCACTGTCCGCTCCATCAGAGAGGTGGGGTTCGCCGTGTGAGTCTGAGCAGGACAGAGGAGCGTTTGAGTATCATCTGTGTCTTCCTTCCGGTCAGCTAACCAACAGTGACGAATCTGCTGCCTTTACTGCTCTGAGCTGTGGCAGAGCGTCGGTCTTTTAGGATGCGGAATCGCTCGTTCAGAGTCATCGACGTTTGCTGTGGGGAGAAAGGTCCGAGGTTACAACACTGGAATGAAAACTGTCCTATATCTGTGGATTAGACGACACTCAAGCACACTCTCACCGGTTTTCCAACACTGTTGATGTCAAACTGCAGAGGCACTCCTTTTGGTATCTTCTTCTCCACAGTTTCCATCTTCACGGGGGCAACACTGGCAGCAGGGGGATGCAGGGTCCAAGCTGTTGGGGGCCTAAGTACAAGGCACAAAGACAGTCAGACAAAAGGAAGAACTACCTTCTGTCGACAGGAGGACATCCTTCAGCAAGGGGAAAGACACAAACAAATAGTGCAAACTAGATACTACAGGAGAGTGGGTGACATTTAATAATGGCATAGAGACATATAGGAAGAGAAAAGAGGTGGAGTTGAGGAGAAAAGCTCAGTGCATCATGGAAAGTCGCCCAGAGGCACCTGATCCAGCCCTATAGGCTTTACCAAAAAGGCAAGTTTAAACTTAAAGTACTGTCTGGCTCCTAAATCCAAACTGGGAGCTGGTTCCACAGCAGAGGTGATAGCTGAAGGCTCTGCCTCCTATTCTACTTTTGGAAACCATGAGCAAGCCTAAAGGGAAGGATTTGAAACTCAGTCATGGATTAAACCAGAGCCAATAGAGCGAAGCTATTCCCCATTAATACTCTTGCTGCAGCGTTTTGGATCGTCTGAAGTTCTTCCACAGCAAGCGAAAACCCTCATTTCATTCACAGCGAGGTCTAAAATCAGTGTGTACTGCAGAGATCCTGCTGAGTACTCACTCAGGCTGTGTCCTGGCTGTGGGGTTGTCTATTGAAACAGTCAGGATTCCACTGCTGGCTGTCGATGTGCGCCACCTGTTGGACAAATGGAAAAGGTGCCTCGTGTTACACAAACAGACACAGACCCCAAAAACGGACAACAACGGTGCCCTTTCCCTTCTAAATGATTCACATCCTCAGTGCGAGTTCCTCTTCCTCACATATGAACATACAACGCAGGTTGTCAGAAGTATACTCACTGCCGTGTTCTGACTGGAGGTGTGCGGGGAGTTGGCTTCTGCACTTGGGCTTGTACCTGTTAAAACACATGAAGCACAAGCAGAATGAGAAGAGTCCACATGGCCACGAAGACCAGCTTCACTGCTGGTTTGATTTAGACAACAAACACACTACGTAACCTCTCAGATACCTTGAGTCCCCTGCGAAAAAGAAACGTGGCCTGTCGTGCTTCCCTCTGAGTCTGCTGGACAGGCGGCAGCGGTCTGGCATTAACAGAGCACAAATAAAATAAAAAAATCTAGCTGTGTAAACTATGTAGGTGAATCAAAGCTGAATAACATCGGTCTCTCCTCCTCTAGAGCTGAAATCATAATGAGTGATAAAAAGCAAACATTCTCACCGTCGCCGCAGTTGAAAAGGCCTCCTGACTGACGGGGCGTTTGGGCCTCTCTGTTGATCTGGCTGCCTGTACAGCCGCCTCTGTACCTCTGGCTTCCTGTACTGGGTTTCAGTGCGCTGAAAGAAGGGCCTTGTTTTCTGTCTTGTTTTCTG